GGGGGGGGGAGTGCTTGCAGGTGGTTTTTCATAGCACAAGAGATTCTGTATGTCTCTTCTGCCCTAAAACCTCTTTCCCTGCCTGCTAGAATTGTGTTTCTAATTCCACAGTGACTGCCATGCATGATGCTGGTAGTATGTGCTAGGTACTGGGATGAAGTAACTTCCATACATGTGTACGAGTTGTGTCATCCAGCCAGCCTATTGAGAACAGTGAAGATTATGGATCCAGTAAGTGCCTGGAAGAAGATTTGCAGTGGCTGTGACAAAGCAACGAGAGGGAACACAACATTATGGCAAGAGGTCTGGGGACAAAATTGAATTATGTTGAAGTCTATTTCCACTTTTGCAGTCAAATTTAAGAAAACCCATTCACACTAGGGATGGACCTGAAAGGTATTTTTAGACCGAAACCAAAAATATTTTTTTTTTCAGGCCGAAACCAAAACCGAAATTGACTTATTTTTCCAACCTTTGCCCGCCCTATGCCCCATACATTGCTCCATTCACCGCTGGAGGATAGGGGAGGGGGGAATCCCTGTGGGTAATGGTGACTGACAGTCACCGCTCTCTGCAGGGAGATGTTCGGGAAGTGAGTGAGCGAATCAAAGTTTTTTATTAAATTTTGACAGTGACAATAAAGCATATAGCACAACATGTGAACAATACAAGAGTGGCATGGTTGACATTTTTCAAATACAGAAATGCAGATGATGTAAACGACTGAAATGTCTGGACATGGACCACTTACGCAGCATGACGTAAGTCAGAAAGGCAGTAAATTAAAGTAGAGTTAAAAACCAGAGAAAAGAGGTAGGGGGTGAAAGTAAGAGTCTGATGGCGGGAGGACCCCCAGGGTGTAGCATATCAATCAGAGGGCTGTAATACTAGTAGAAGGGATGTCTGGATGGGCATATGCTATCCAATGGTTCCAAACCTTCATACATTTCTTTTGGGTGTCCAAGAGAACACTGGATAATTTTTTGTTAATGAAAAATAAATCAATTCTACGCCTAACCCCCGAAAAGGGGATCAGTTGCTTCTATACTTGAGCTATGGTTTGTTTGGCAGCAAGAAGAACTAAAACTAAGTCTTCGTAATGTTCGGTGGTTTAAGGTGTAAAAGTGCAAACCAGGGGTCCTTGCAACATTTGTGTGGAAAAGGAATCGCAACAAGCGAAAAGTTTTAGTCCAGAGTCTGCTCACCATTGGGCACGTCCACCAAATATGCAGTACATCACCTTTCACCACACAACCCCTAAAGCAAAATGTCGACTGTTGAGGGTGAGAGTGCGCCAGTCTGGCTGGGACCATGTGCCACCGCATCATTGATTTATAAGCTGTTTCCGAGGAAGTGACGCTTTATAGTACATAATGCCGCCGTGGTCCATATCTGTTGCCATATATCGCTGCTTTTTAAATGACCCCCTTATTGATTTTTCTGTACAAGAAGTCCTTGCTTCCACATATATCACTTGTCCTGTCTTTTTCTCTGGTCAAGGTTTTAAAGTCTTTGTGGAATCTTGATAGGTGAAAGAAATGGCTACAATATGGATCAGATACTGCAGGTGGCAGATTTGTGCCCTCTATCGGAAAGATCTCTCTTCCTTTAGTTGCTACCTCATTCTCTGACACGTGAAGTATGTTCATATCATGATGACAAGTATTTGTATTTCCTAAAAAAAATATTGTAGTTTCTTTCTTAGAAACCTTGCAGCATATTGTCTACTTTTTAAAAGTTACTTTTTTTACATAGAGGTTTTGTGCAGGATAAACCACAATGATCTTTGTTATCAATAGATGTTCTTTATAAGATTTGTAATTTTTTATTTCTCTTTACACCTCTAAAGGAGTGTATATAGGGCTCACCTTTATGTTCAGAGGTAGCTTTAACAGAATTTAGTTGTTTGTCAGATTAAAGGAGAACTATGGGGTCAGTGTTTTTCCCCATAGTTCTCCTTAGGGTAACGGGAGGACACAAACTAGCGTCCTCCCGTTACCCTAAGCTCAGTATACCGCGAGCTGCAGCTCGCGGTATACTGAGACGCCGCACCTGGAGCGGATCCCGACGTAGATGACGGGATCCGCCCAGCTGCGTGAGTGACAGCTGGCTCTGCCTACCTAGAGGCAGAGCCAGCTGTATCCGCCCCCTCCCCCGTCCGTTCCGCCAGTCAGCGCTGGCAGATCGGAGCGGGGAGAGGGGAATCCAGCCCCTCCCCCTGTCACGGCAGAGAGCCGTGACAGGATCGAGAGGTGAGGGAACCCGGTATGTGTTCCCTCACCTCCCGATCTACTGAGCCGACCTGTGACAGTCTCACAGGTCGGCTTAGAACTATGAGGTGAGTGGAAATCACTCATCTCATAGTTCTCCTTTAAGGCACAGCTGAGCCGTTTCTTTCCCTTCACCACTTTTGCACAGAATCATTTCAGGCTAGTTATGATGAAAATCTGACAATATATTTTTGATTAGGTTGATTGTGGATGCCATCTTGACAATGGACATCTGAGCTTAGAAAGATTGAATGGACACTTTAGGCCAGTGGTCGCCAACCTTTCGGACCTCATGGACCACTGAATTCATAATTTTAAATCCTGCAGGCCACTAACATTAATTTTTTTTAA